CTGAAAAGACGACACTCGGCTCGACAGACTGTGACTGTGAGGTGTTTGTTGTTGCCGCCACTGCAGACATCTCTTCGCTTTTTGTTGCCGGCTCAGATTCCTCAATATTCATTTTTTCGTCACACTTTATATCAACAGATTGGGTGTTCGTAGCTTCGCTTGTTGTTGCTGTTTCACCCACCTCAGATCCTGTCGTTGAAGCAACACTCACTGTAGTCGGAACAGTTGTTTTAACATTTTCAACCCCAGGAGGTGCTGTTGCAGCATCTGCACTTGTTGTGGTGGAAGTACTTGCTGTTTCTATTTTGATTTTCTTCTTTATTTTGCGTGCCTGCGATGCATTATCTATTTGCTTATTAGCTGGTGAATTAGGACCGCTAACAATGAAATTGGTTTTTTGTTGCAATGGTAAGGGCTGTGCCCGTAATCTGATCGAAACATAATGCAGACCCGGCAAATCTGTACCATCCATTTTACGTACCATAGCAGGGCCCACGGCCGTGGTAAATAGCAATCTAACCAGCTTGGGAAATTGCATGTGATTTACAACGGAATGCTTACCGGCCTTTTGACAATGTGACAGATACATACGGTACAATTCTTGTTGGTCGATGTGACACTCGCTGCTGGGAGTACGTTCAAATGTTGCCCCCAACCAAGCTAAGGCGTATTGTTCATCCTCATGGGTAAAGCTTTGTGGAGACATTTGTGACGGAGGTATTGCTGTGGTCTGTGCATGTGATGGCTGTTGCTGTTGAAAATGCTGTTTTTCAACTGGAGCCACAACTACACCAGGCGAATGATGGAATGGAGGGATAACATCGGGATTAATGCTAGCATCAGCCATCATTACAGGCTGTTGGTTACTCATTATTTGTGGTTTATGCATAACCTGATGAGAACTATTGGATTTTTGAATCACAACTGCATTCTGTAAGTTGGCAATATTTTGTGCCACCATAGGTAACATGTTGCCGGGTACAGTTTCAACAACACGCATAAGTATGCAACCATCGGTACCGTAAGATTGTGCCTCCACCGAAATCAATGAAATTAATTGATCTACAATGCCTCGTACTTGCATCATGGAATTGCAACTTTTCGGTCCCAAGCAAGTTAATGCATATATTGCCTCCAAGGTGAATATTAAAAGCATTATATCGTTGAGTGATAGGAACAGCGATATTGTATTGTAAAATTTTGCATTTAAACATTTCAATACATAATCCTCATTTGCTTCTCGTTGGCATAGTTTATAAAGAATTTCTAGACAATTTATAATCACTCCACGGTCTGATCCATCGATGCCATCACATATGGTGGCCATGAGACAGCGACTTAGGTCGTCTATGGTGGGGTCTGCTAGATCCAATTCCATTGCAATATTACCGGTAATTTCCAAAGCTTGTATGTGTACATTGCTCCATCTAATGTTGGAACTCATTACCAAAAATCTGATTAATGTTTTATTTTTTACAAGTACGTTCAAATTCTCGGGAAAAAAGCTGAGGTTTCGAAGAATGGACACCACTTGGAGGACACGTTGTCCTACATAGTCATAAGTTCCCAAACCACGTCGCAAATTTAAAAAATACAACTCCTTGCAATCATGCCAGAGGCCATCTTCATCAACATCTTGCTTGCCATCGTCCCAATCATCTATTACGCCAGAATCTCTCAAAGATTGTTCATCGGTATACAGGTCTAATATTTGTGGTTGTTCATGCAACAGATCATACCAAAATCCGTACAATGAATGCTGCCTAACTCCATTATAGACATGTTGAAACAATTTTCGCATTGTGTAATCGCAGTATACACCTGTATGGGCTAGCAAAGCATCAATAAGTTTGGGATATTCGTTTACTTTCAATGTGTGTTTGCTCTCATTAGCCATTAGGGTACAGGCATTAATAGCGAAATCCTGTTCATTGGGCAATGGCGACAATAATGATAACATTAACTTTTCATACGGTGATGACTTGTGCAAATCAGTAGAAAGTTTAAATTGGCGTCTACGATCCATATTAACATGGTGTTGTTTGTAATTATAAGTCATAGCCACGTTATTTGCCGGATTTGCACCAGTTCCGCCGTAAACACTTGAAGGGTAACGGGATGAGCCTTTACTTCCTCCCCTTCCACCCATGAACTCGGCCATTTCAGCAGCCTCCATAGCATCAATTTTTTCTGGATCTTCGCCAAAGTAGTTAACACGTTCATATTTCTCTAAATACCTTCGATATATGAATTTAAGACCGGCTGAGCCGTTAACGATTTTCTCACTCCAGCCCAATTCTTTTAAAACTTCGTCCCACTGATCTCTCGAATTTACTTTCAAAAATCCACCACGTTCGGTGACTTCACAGTATAGACGATGAAGATCTACTTCACGTCCTGTTATTCTTGGAATATTCCTGATTATTGTCCTATTAATTGAAAGAAATGGGAAAATATTAGAATATAAATATCAACATTTGTAGGCTTAGAATAAGTTATGAAAGTCATGCTATGTATGAAAATAGATATTTCGACAAGATTTTTTTGAAAATAATGGCGGCAAACAAGTACTCTTTGAGAATAACTTCCAGATTGTGTAAATCCTGTCTACACATTTACTGAAAATGCCAAAAAATTCCTTAATATGAGGAAAATTTGATGCTGTTTAATGTTAGGGAGCTTTACTTAAACAATTTGAACATTTGTCCAAGCTTAACTCTATTTGTAATAAAAGACTTAAGTCCTTTCATATTTCACCTTTTCAAATAATATCCTAATGCCGGGTGCCAATAGACACACATACAAACATATCTACAACACACCAATGTTCTTCTTACCCTCTTTTCTCATGAAATAGCTGCAAATCTCGATAAAATTCTTCAGGTGGCTTCGGCGGATTCTTCCCTTTACCGGTGCTAGCAGATGCATTTTCCGGCTTATCCTCTGACTGCTTGTCTCCACGATTTCGTGACCTTAAAGGTGTCCCAGTCTTTGGAGCATCAGACGACGACGACGTGAATGAAGTTGTTGTAGCGGTAGCATTATTTGTTGTATTAGCACCAGTAACTATTGTATTTTCACTCTGGGACAGGGTGTTAGCCTTTGAGATTTCAGTAATCAACATGATGTTTTAACTTTTTTATGGTATTTATTTCCAATTTTATATTTTTTTCATTTTATTTTTGGAAAAAACTAACAACACAGTAACGCGTAAATTTATGGCATATGCCCGCCGTCACGACTGTTTATTGCCAACTGCACACAAAACTACAATTAAGTTGGCAACACTAGTAATGCTTTAAGCGGCGTGGCGACACGCCAAGCAATTGAAATTAAGCAAATAATACAGCATTTACATTGAAAAATGTATGCAAGTTCGCAGTTACACTTTTAAGCGAAATATATCTTTAGAGAAATATATAACTTGATTTTGAAAACAAATTTTGATCTTTGATTTTCGTGATTCTTTTTATTTATTCAAAATTCAATGCAACAAGCTTTTTATTTTAGACAAAACAATTTATTGAATATGTTTTTAAAGTAATTCTGAAATAATTCTTTACTTGATTATTTTTCCAAGACAAGGTAGGTTAAACCTTGTCTTCATTGTATCATGACTCTACCGTTGTACCCATGGTACCATAAGGAAGTACAATAGCTTCGTAGAACTACTGGAATGTAGCCCTATTATCATGGTACAATAAAAAGGTAAGATAGAGCTCCCAGCTGAGTACAATTTTTTTAAGTGTGCCCGACTTCTGCCAATTTTGTGTATGTATTTGTTGTTTTGAAAAGTCAAAACAAAATATTTTCGAAATCAATGATTAGAAGAAATTTTTATTTTATTGTTCTTTCTCTTTTTTATTTAAGGATATTTTTTTATGCTATACTTGTAGTAGTTACATTCGCTCGGTTGGAAACGAGTGATGATTTTTGTACTTTTACAAAGCTGTTCTACCTCCTTATTGTACCATGCCCTATTATTTGATCCGTTCCAAAACCTACTAGTTTTGCTGTTTTTTTTTTTTTTTGATATCATACATGGAAAATCGGTAGTAGTAAAAACTTTTATATTCTTCCAGCTCTGATACGGAACAATTATTTGGTAGATTTTAAGACATCTACCTGAAGTATTTGGGTAATGCGGACGTACAAAACATTTCACCACAGCAGTGAAGTTGAATATTTGTAAACGCTATGTAGGATTTTACGTAAAGTTGTTAGAAACAATACAAACATATACACCATTGCTCTGTTACTGAACCTGGGGCTGGATTCTTTTTCTATGAAAATATGAAATGAAAAATATTTCCTTTATAAAATTTTCCATTTGACATTTCTTTCCTTTATAAAAGTTTTCATTTCACATTTTCATAGAACAAGAATTGAGGCCCTGGAAGAATCTACTAGATTTACATTTATTGCGATTTCTTAAAGTGACAATCTGTTATCGTAGTAAAAACTTTTACATTCTTGCAGTTCTAGAACAGACCAAACGTGCTTATGTTTTGACATAATTGATAAGAAAGTTTGCTCAACTTAAAAAAAAACTAGAAAAATGCAACTCTGTGCTATTTATTATTCAACCGAATTTAAAATAATTTCAAATTATTGTATTTTTTATTCAAAACGATACACAAACATACACAAAATGTGTATATGTGTTGACAGAATAAGGGCACAAAATGAAAAAAAAAATGTATTTAGTATTGTATTTTACCTTCTGTAAATATACCATGGTATAACCGAAATTGAATTTCGATAAAATAGTTGAAAAATGCATATCTAACAACCTCCGATTGGGGTCGTATAAGAAAATATATAAAATTGTACTTATTTAAAAAAAAAAAAAAAAAAATTAAATTTCTGACATATCAATGGCGAACCTATATTGGGTTCAACTTCTGTAGCGAAAAACTTCAATGACATACGTCGTATTTTAGGTGGAACTTAAAAGATTTACATAACCCTAACCTGCCTTTATCGATTATTAAATCCCTACCTCCTATATTTTGTTTTGTTTCCCCATCTTTATCGCTGTTTTTCCACGGAACGAAAAAAAAGATTCACAGTCTATTAAAAAGGAAAAAAGTTTCTACTTCAAAAACTCCTACAACTCGTCAAATGCTATCGAAAGGATAGATTTCTAATTGCCGTAATTATCGTACCTACAATCACAAAAATCTTTAAGATAAATTGGACAAGGTCATTTGATAAAGACGGAAAAATGGATACTTCATCTCAAGGGGTAGAGTAACTTGTAAATATATACATAATACGTGTTACTAATATTGAATATTTTGCGATTTTCTATTTTTTAGCAAAAACAGACATTGGAATCTTTGAGCAAAGAGGAAATTATAAACAAGTACAAGGGCTTGTTGGGTATTGCAAAGAAAGCGAAACAGGCCAAAGATGGTAAGTGACCGTATTAAAAAAATATTAGTTATATTCAACTACATGACAAGGCCAGTAAAGGGGTGAAGTATTTAAAGCATTAAATTAGTTACAGGAAGATTTGGTTGTGAATTTGTTTATTCGGTGATCAAACATTTTGCCGCAGAAGATTATCAATAAATGTATGTATTTCGGTAAAGCCCACCAAGTCCACATTCCCAACCGATTTGATATGGGGTGTGACAAATTCCAAGTGAATGGGTTTGTTTAAGACCAAAAAGCAAACCTTCAAAAGGGAAACCTCTTCAAATACTTAAACGAAAAACCACTTCAAATACTCAAACGAAAAAATGAGAGAAAATGATAGCGTTTCCTTGGAACAACTTTAGTTTAGTAAAAACTCTTCGATTTTTTCCCCGATATAAAATATTTTTACCCCGATTCCGGGAAACTATTTTTTCTTGGAAGATCCCACATTTTTGAGCCGAAAATCCAGGTTAGACCTGGATCCACATAACCGATATAGGCAATATAGATATCGTTGGAAACCGGGAAAGTATAGTCAAATGAAAATTTTTGTGGCCCGGATTTTTTTTAAACCCCCAAAAATTCGAAAAAGGGTCCATTATGGGGGTCAACAAAATTAAAGCCAAATTATAGCTGACACTCTTACCTTTCCAAAATGCTACATTTTATGCTTATATCCCGCCATGTTACCACTTGTTGGATAGGTATTTTCACAAATTTTCCCACGATACTTATATTGGGTAAGTGAATCCGGGTCTTGAGCCCGGACTTTCGGGTCTGAAATCTGGGGTCCCGGGTTCGTCCCCCAAGAAATAAATAGTTTTACGGAATCTGGGTAAAAATAAGTACCACTGGAAAAAACTTAAGACGTTTTACTAAACTAGAGTTAGGCTGTTAAGCTCTTTGTCTTGTTAAGCCTTTAACAGCATCATCTTGTGAAGTATGTAAAAAACTAATGAATTTTTGTCTCTATTTTCTATTTCAGAAATGCTTGAAGAAAATCGCAAATTAAAAGAGCAGCTGCAGCAGTGCGAAACCCAAAAGGAAGCTGATAAAAATGCCTTATTGACAATGAAGGAAATGTTAGAAGCCTATACAGAATATAAATTGCAATTAACAACGCAGCTAAGCGAATTGGAAAAGCGAAGAAAACATGATACAGAACAACTTGAAAAGCTGTCGATAGAAAATGAAAGTTTAAAAAGACAATTAGATCGTCTGAACGAAGACAACGATTCGTTACTCAGAGATATTGAAAATATGGAATGTCAATTGCAACAGGTCAGCGGGCTGGGAAAGGAACAAAAACAACATCTGGTCTTGTTGGAGCAGGAAATTAATCAGTTGCGTGAAGCGGAAGCAAAAAATAAAGAATTAATTGTAAAAAATAATGAACTAAACAAATCTCTGAATGAACTCAAGGAAAAGTACAGCTTTGTTAAGGAAATCAACACAGAGCAGAGACATAAATTTAATGCTCTAAAAGATAGATTTATAGAAGTGCATAAAAAGGTGAAAAAACTCAAGGAATGCAAACGGATTTTGTTAGAAACTCAGCACGAATATGCGGACTCAGTGTCGCAGTGGCAAATCGAGATAATTAAGGCGTCTAAATTATTGTGCCAGGAATTGGATAGTTTGAAATTGGAAAATACCAAACTTTTAGAAAAATTAAAGGATCAGAAGCCGATGGATGGTATAATTGCCAAGGTTGGAATGTTGATGGAGTTGTCGGAAAGGGTTAAACATGAATATAATAACGTTACAACGGAGAACACAGAACTTAAGGCCAAATTGTCTAAGGCGAATATGGTGCTGCCGTTCAGGGCTTCCAACATCTGTGAAGAGAAAATAAACAAACTTTTAAAACTGAGTAAATTAGCCATGGTCGAATATCAGAATTTGAAAGATGCCCATGAAAATATTGCCCCAGAAAATAATGCCAGCGATAGCCTTAGTCAATACATTGTTCCTAAATTGGAGATATTAAACAATTTGGCAGACAGAGCCAAAAACGAATATCTCCAAAAGTCTCAAGAGTTGTCACAGTTAAGAGAAGAAAAAGAAACTCTCAAGAATGTCAGGGTAAATAAAGAAGATACCGAATCTATGGGAATTTGTAAGGATTGTGAAGAAAATATTTTAATTATTGAGAAACTCAAAGAGGATATCGAAACTACCCATGGCTCCCATCAGAAAGCAATGGAAAATATATTGGAATTAAAAGTGGAACTAGAGAAGAATAAAAAATCTGCTAATGACTATCAACAAATGTACCATCAAAAGGAAAGAGAACACTATGAATTGCTTGACGAGATGAGAGAACTAAATGAAGCACTTAAGGCCAGAGGTGATTTAATATCACGACAACAGGAAGAACAACAGCTATTGAAGGCGGAACTTAAAGCAACCAGTGATAAATTGGAGACTATACAGAGAGATCTTAATGCCAAGGAAGAACAACTAAAGCAGCACCATGAAAAGCTAGAAAATCTAACAAAGACCAATGAGGAATCTGGCCAAAAATTGGAAAAACTTGAAACAACAAATGGTCTGAATGAGGAAAAGTTGCGCATCCTCAACACAGAGTTAGAAATGTTAAGAAGTTCTCAGAACAATGCCGATGTGCTGGATAATCAAAGTGAAGTTTTATCCACTTCCACCATATCTCGGGCCGATGAATTGCAGCGGCTTAAAGATGTCGAAGACTCCTTTGAGGAGAAATACAACAAACTAAGAGCTATAGCAGCAAAATTAAAGAAAAAATTGCAAGACGAAGTTAGTGTAAAGCAGGACTTGGAACGGGAAATCGACCAAATGAAATCGAACGAAAACGAAGCAAGCACACAAATTAAGGATTTACAAAAGCGTATCGATGATTTGGACATGCAGCTATTAGAAAAGCAAAAACTCAACGACACGCTTAAGAGCGAAAATCAAAAACTTAAATCATCACGGAAACAAGCAAATGTCTTAAATTTGGAAATCGAAGCTGCCGAAAAATCCCTCACCGAAGTCAATAACAAACTTGCCAAACGTACCACAGAGCTGGACAATGCCCAGGAGCAAATTAAAACTAAAGATCTTACAATCAATCAATTGCGCAAAGAAATAGAATTGCTGGAATCTTCCAAAGCCGCTGAGACCAAACATTCACAGGAGTTAAAGGATCAAATTGATCATTTACAAAAAACCCTGAAAGACAGTCTTCACAGTAAACAGCAAGCTCTGGAGAAGTGTAAAATACTTGAACAAGATGTGGAAAATCTAAAAATAGAATTGGAGACGGTTAAGGTAGAACTGTCAAAGGCCACCGGTAGTTTGGAGCAATCCCTCAGCACGCTGAAGACCGAAAAAGAACTTTTAACGGAACAACTATCTGCCAAACAAACACAACTTTCAGAATTTGAACAGAAACTAAAACATGCCGAAAGAGCTAACGAAGACTTGCGCGTTGAATATTTGGATTACAAGGTTAAGGCACAAGCAGTTCTGCGAAAAAATCAGAATCGTGATTCCACCAAAGAACATGAACTGGAAGAAGAAATTGTCACACTTAGGGCAACGGAAACAAATCTGAGGACCACCGTTGAAACGCTTACTACCAAAGTACAAACTTTGGAAAAGGAAAAAGAACATTTGGGTGAAGAGCAGCAACAATTTAAACAACGTTGCAACGAATTAATGCAATTGGTTGATGAGGTGCGCAAACAAAATGATTCTCTTAATCGGGAATTGCAACAACACATAAAGCAACAAAATGACATTCTCAAACAACATCGCCAACAAATCGAAACCATGGATGAATGTCATAAAGATCAAGTGAAGGCTCTCAATGCAAATCATCAAAGGCAATTGGAGCAATTGCGTAGGGATTTGGCAGAGAGAAATTTGCATTTGCCCACCGCCACAATGGGTAGCACAAACGCAACAACAACAACAAATTATTCGCTAATGGAACGTGAAGATGCCGAAGGCTCTGAAGAAGCGGCCGAAACGTTGGCTTCATTGGCAGCCTCGAGAAAAATTTCAAATGCCTCTTCAAAACGTTCACATGATTTTATGCCATTGGATGAACTTCTAAATACACCCATCAATGCCATTAACAGTGAAACCCTAATTAACACCGCCCTTAACATTCCCGATAATTTAAACAACAACAGCGACTTGCTGCAGTTGGAATTGAACTCGACCAAAGAGCGTTTGCAAAAGCAAGAAAGTCGTGTCCGCCATTTGACAGCTTTATTGGCAGAAAATGAACAAGATTTGGCCAAATTAACACAAATGAATGATATGCTTAAGGAGGAACTGCGAAGGCAGGAACGATCAGCCGAAAGGGAACAGCATTTGCATAATTCGGAATATGTTAAAAATGTTATCTTGAAGGTGAGTACCAATCTATATGTTGCGAGACTTCTTTGATCTAATTCTGTATACAGGGTGAGATAAAAAAAACTGCAACAAAGTCAAACGCCATAATTTTTAAATTTTTTTAAAATTTTTATTGAATGAAAAAACATGTCGAAAATAGCATCAAATTTTAGAGTAAGCTGAGATTTGTTCGAATTGGTAACCTTTTGCTCGAATTATGGCCTTCAAACCGCAAATGAAACAGTCAAACGCTGCCCGAATGTTGCTCTGCGGTATTTTGGTCCATTCCCGGCGAAGCGTTTGCTTGAGGTGGTCGACACTTTTGTATTTTTTCGTACCAACCTTGCTTTCCGAAATACTCCAGACACAATAGTCCAGCGGATTGGTGTCATCCGGAGATTTTGGTTGCCATTGTGCGCTGGAAATGAAGCGAGGAACCTCATTTTGTAACCATTCTTAAGTGGCGTGTGCTGAGTGCAATGGTGCTGTGTCCTGTTGGAATGTCCAAGGTCTGCGGCCAAAATGATTGCGTGCCCAAGGCTTTAATACATTTTCCAGAATATGTCCGCGATAATATTCGGCATTTATTCTGATGCCACTGTCGATTAATACGAGCGGAGAGCGACCATCGGCTGTTATGGCGGACAACACCATCACCATGGCCAGCGCTTGAGTTCTGGTGGCCAACCGAAGGTGCACATTTTCAGCTGACCTCTTTGGCAAGTAAACACGATCAGTTTGTTTGTTTACAAACTGCGGGACAACAATTTTTTTCTCGTCGGAGAATACCAAATTCAGCACTTCACCGCTTTCGGCCAAGCGAAGCAACTCTTTAGCTATTTTGAGTCTATTTTCTTTCTATTGCGGTGTATGTTCTTGCACTTTTCGGAATTTCAATGGGTTTACCCCGAGCTTATTTTTCAATATTTGCTAGTTTCGATCAAGTCGCTTCTTCTTAACTTTTCGAACCATTTCTGCTGATGTTGCTGTTTTCTTCGGTCCACTTCCTCGACGTCAGGCTACTCTACCAGTATCACGGTAACGAGCGATGGTACGAGACACAAAAGATTTATTCACATTTAAATGCTGGAGTGCTCTAACGATAGCCACTTGTGGTTCTCCAGCCTAATATAAAGAAATTACACTATTTGGAAAATTCTCATCAAAATTCTTTTGTACACTTGTAAACAATATAATGAGCTGTCACTGGAATAATTTTAACAGCTGTCGGACGAGTGGCTTAGAAATGACAGCAGTCTGAAGTTGGTTGCAGTTTTTTCATCTCATCCTGTATATATTCTTGATCAGCATAAAATTCTATGTCGATTAAGCGATGTCCGCCCGTCTGTGGAAATCACTCTAGCTTCTGAACGAAATGAAGAAAATTTTACTCAATTGTATATAATGTCTGCAGGACTTTTGGTATTGAAAATAGGCCATGTAGGTCCACGTTTCTATTTTCGGTATATAGGTAATTAAGGCGACATTATTCACCGGAATTATTTAAAATTTCCTATTTGAAGTTCGTAATGGGTGCTACAGCCTATGACAGAAATTTTTGTATGCAGGTCCAAGTCTTCGTATAGCCCTCGTATAACGGTACCTCCCGATATTCGGTATTTTGATAATTTTAGGGACATAATTTACCGGAATTGTTGAAAATTGTCTGTGCAGGTTCACGTCGTATACCCCTCATATAACGGCACCTCCCTATATTCGGTATTTTGATGATTTTAGCGACTTTATCTACCGGAATTGTTTCAAATTTGGAATTTGAAGTTCGTAATGGATATTACAACCTAAGACAGAAAATTATCTGTGCAGGTCCGTGTCTTTGTATAGCCCTAATATAATGGTACCACGTTATATTCGGTATTTTAGCTATATTATTAAACGAATTTTTTTCAAGTTTCACTATTGAATATTTTAATGGCCTATGACAAAAGTTGCCTACGCAGGCTTACGTCGACGTATAAAACGGCTACATTCGCTATTTTTAAGATTTTGACAAAATATTTATTTTTTGGAAAATTGCTAATTTCGTTCCAAATGGTGGAAGGTATTCAAATTTCGGCCGGCCTGAACTTTCAGCTGTTTTTGCTTGTTTTATCATTCGAAATGGAATCCACGATGGAAAAAATATGATAAAATTATTCATGGTGAAAGTTCCACAACCTTACTCTTAGTATTTTTATCCTGTGTAATATATACTAAAATTGTGGATTTTTTTTAGTTTTTAACTCTTAACAATGCAGATGAGAAGACACGTTTGGTACCTGTATTGAATACATTGTTAAAATTAAGTCGAACGGAAACAGAAATGCTGAATTGTGTTGCGAAAGGTCAAAAAGGTAAAACGAAAAAATAGCCTTACGATTTCATCATTTGATTAAAATGTTTCTTTTCTTACGTATAGTTGCAGATACCAGCCAACAGCGCAGCGGTGGTTGGGGTAACTTCTTGCCGTGGGGCAGTGGCAATGGTAGCAATAGCAGTAATAATTAAAATGTCATGTTTTATTGTATTTGTTATATCAAGTATTTTGTATAGTATTGTGTTTGGGGGTCGCAGTATGTATATTCCATTCATATTTTTTATGCGATAAAAACGTTAAATGTTCTTGTATCAATATCAGTGTAATTTATTGTGTTGTTGTATATATATTTTATATATATGTAATTTCTATTTACGTAATATATATTTTCTTTGAATTTGTAAAGATATAATCCTATGGGAAATTTTAAATAAAAAATAGTAGTAAAATATAAATAATAATTTATACAAGTATATAGGAATAATAATTCGTTAATCTAAGATATACATTGCGGTGTATGTTTTTAATGAGTATAAGCCATGTTTGTTATTCATACACTTATATTTATATTTCAAATATATGAAAATACTTAAATAATAATTACTAAATAAAAAATAAAGTTATACATCACAATTATGCGTATCTACAATGTAATCCATATTAAAGAAAAACGTCCTACAGAAATCCTTAATTTTTTCTAACAATTCTAATAATGAGAAAGCTTTTAAATCTAGGATAGGTTGCCGTTTTGCAACTGTTATGGGAATAGTAATTTAAAAATGTCGTAATATGTTTTTGGTTTTTAAGACATTACGGTGTTACGGAATTTTGAAAGTAGTTTCTGTTGCAGCTATTGATTATTTTTTACAAAAAGTTTCACTTTGTTATTGTGATTGAAAATTACTTCCAATTTTTCAAATGCTTTAATGCGAACGGTTAATTTAAGTAGCAGGAAAATACATATTGTTTTAAAAAATATATATTGCGCATATACTATACACCAGGCAAGGATACCATAGATGAAGATTGACTGTCTATAAACTAGAATATTTAATTTTTCCTAAATTAACTTAAATTTTAATCAGTTTTAAATTCTCACTTTGCTATACTTAATAACAAATGAAACTAGGCTAAGCTCTGACGGGGGCATACAAATTACTGCCAAACCCCAGCGTAGTTTCCCACTAAAGTCGCTGGCAAAGGACCGCCGGCAGCAAAGAGACGCATTCCAGTACTATCATAACAATGTGTATAAATTGCGGGAACATATTTTACATTGAAACCGTCCATTTCATCTTCCGGATACTGGAATGGAGGCATATAAATTTTATTGACAAAACTTTTGAAATAATTTAAATGTCAACTACTTACCACTATACCTTTACTGCATTTCAATGTCACGGTACGTGATGCATTAACACTACTCTCCAAGTATTTTCCAGCACGAATGTCATAGAATAAAAGCATTCCCAGGCCGGTACCAACTGTAAGTAAGTTACCCTCAAAGGATGTGGCGCGTATTCCACAGCCGCTATAACGTGAAGTTATTTTTTTGATTGTCTAAAAGAGACAAGAAAAAATTGGGTAGATATGCATCATTGATGAAAATTTACTTTGGATTAAAATGTATTTACCTGCAAAGTTCTTGTATCCAATAAAATTGTATATGAACGACATCCAATGGCGTATAGGCCATCACTGTGGTATGCTATACTTACATTATCTTGACAATTTGGCAGTTTACGTGATAATTTCTGTTTAAATGTTTCAGCATTAAACACATGTATATACCCATTCAAAGAGAGGGCTGCTATTTCCCGAAATTCTTTATTGAAACACAAAGACCGAATCTAGAAAAACGGAAAACAATGCAAATAATAAACTACAACGGATTCTCATAAAATTCAATAGGTATTTTGAAATATGCTGCAATTGTTTCGAATATATATTTTTGTGAAAATATATAATATTTTGTGAAAATATAAAACATAAATAAATATTATAGGAAAATGGAAATTAGTTGACAGGGAATTCAAAAGCCACATCCTCCAAAGCAATATGGCCTTTTCATTTAATTCTTACTAAAAAAAATCTCAGCATTGCGATACTCAAGTTTGAGCTGGTGGGTATAAGTCTGGAGGGAGATACAATATCACTTTAAGGCTACTGGAAAGTGTTTTCTAAGCTTCAATGAGTCTAAAGACAATTTCAGAAGTATTGAACCAGACCTTGGACATTCCAACAGGACTCAGCACCATAGCACTCAGAACGCGCCACCCAGAATGGTTACAAAATGAGGTTCGTCGCTTCATTTCCAGCGCACAATGGCCACCCAAAATCTCCGGATACCAATCCTATTGTGTCTGGAGTATTTTGGAAAGAAAGATTGGCACTAAAAAGTACCAAAGTGTTGATCACCTCAAGCAAACAACAATCGGGCAGCGTGTGACGGTTTCATTGGCCGTTTGAAGGCCATAATTCGTGCCAAAGGTGACCAATTCGAATAAATTTAAACTTATTCTAAATTTTGATGCTATTTTCGACATTTTTTGCTTTAATTCAATAAAATTTAAAAAAATGTAAAAATTATGGCGTTTGACTTTGTTGCAGGTTTTTTTATCCGTTCGATAACTGATGGTCATTTTGCTTGGCTTTTAAAAACTACGAAAAGTCGGCTTTTCGGTAACGAAAACCTTGCATACATTTTGTACTGTGACGTTTTGAAAAACGATACTAAGTCGGTAACTAAAAATTAAGTTCTTGGCTTTTACTTTGTGTTTTGAATTAAAGCATACCAACGACAAGACTTCTACAGAAGAGAACGGTGAGTTCTTACGTGAGTAGGGTGCAAAATAAACTACTTCTTGTTTGTTCTTGGACAGTTTCAAGCCAAGTAAAATGCAGATAGACCGAACTACCTGGAAACTGTATAAGTAATTCCTAGTAATAAAGTTGCAATGGGAGTGATTGCAGATGTTTCGAAAAGCGAAACTATCGAGGGAGAGAACAACTGACAATGAACATTTCTGTGAAAACCATTTTACTTACTCTCTGGGCTGTGCGGCAGTCACGAACACATAGTGGATTAATTGTGGCGACAGTTGGGCAAAATTCTTTACCCCCATCTGGAAATTCCATGTGTTCTTCATTAACACGCCACAGAGCCATGCGTGAATCCTTCGACCCGGACACTATAAACTGGTCATCAAGCCAACACATTCCCATAATCAGATCTCTATGTCCATTTTCACCAACACATACAGGATCTAGAGTTGGCAAACGATATATAGCAATATCGGCAGAGTTTCTTGCCCCAGTGGCCAAGTATGTACGACTTGGATTAATTTCGATTGCATGCAGTCCACCTTGGACCTCGGGATGATTGGGTCGATTTGTTGACAGTGTAGGAATTGCATCAACACGACGCATATTTACATCGTAAACCAAAAGCTAGAATGAAAATTCATTCCAATAAAAAACAAAAACTTTTTTGTCTATTATTGCTTACCTTATTGCATTTAGTGCCAAAAATTACTTGACGATTGCTTAACCATTTTGAGCAAAATACCTTGTTAATGTACCCTAAACTTATTTGCGTTTCCCGCAGCATATCATGCGTTAAAACATAGCGACTGGTTTGCTCGAAGTTAAAACTGCGTCTCTGTAAGAAGGAATTGTAGTTACAAAGTATTCTAGCACGGCTACCTAAATATTTACTTCATTCAAGCCATTCTCCCTGCTGCGAATAAAATCATAAACATTGTAAGATGTGTGAAGAACTTCCTCCTGTTGCTCTGGAGTTTCCTCATCACTACCGGAATCCTCATACGTCACAAAGTCATCGGGTTTATCAGGCTTTCTTCGACGCTCTGCCCTCAAAGCTCTAGCTTTAGCTCGCCTTTCATCCAGACGGGAATTTACATGGCACGAAGGATACGTCCCTACGATACTATTTCGTATGGTTTGAACCATGCCATTGAACATTTTGTTGGAAGGATTTGTCTTATAAATAAGAAATAGTATGAAACTAATAGCTATAAAGAGGGAAGTTTTTGTTGAATAAATTAATCTTTTTCAATAATTTGGTAGTGTAAAAACACTCAAATATCGTAGCTATACTGCAATTGCAGGTAACGGCGTAATGAAATAGTTTTGACGCGTTATTTTATAAAAGGAACCATAGGAACTACATACAGTTGAATCGTTGGTTTTTCTTTAAGTTTTTCAACTGATTTAAGGTGGAAATACATAAAACCCATAAAAGGAGGTAGTACAGCTTCGTAAAACTACAAAAATACAGACCTGAGGCTATGTCCGCTTCCTGTCAGACTCATTCAAAATTATATACAAGCAGTTCTTTTCATTTTTTTCATATTTTTTCTCATTTTCAAAATGAGTAGCGCGAAAAATGAATGAAATGGCTGGATTTTATCTCAAATATATGATCCAAACTGTTCAATCTTTCAATTTCATGGCTAAACTTGTTAATAGATTTAATGCGCGACCCGGAATGTACATGTCTTCCTATCATTGGTTTTGAAAATATTTTGTTTTCATTATTCAAAACAATAAATACATACAATTGGCAGGATTTGGGCAGACATAGAAAAAAATTGTAAAAACTGGTAGCTTTATATATTGTACCATGCATAAAACGCCTTTTTGACTGGCTTAAGTCGGCTGGGTTCTTCGAAAAAGAACAAAGGAGCAAAATCAAGACTAAAGCTGGGAATACATAAAGCGCTTATTTGGCTGGCTTAAGTCATCGGCTGGCTTCTTCGGAAATGAACAAAGGAGACTAGGGCCAAAATCGAATTAGGTCAACCTAAAACTCCTTTGTTCATCTACGAAAAAGCCAGCCAGACTTAAGCCAGCCAAATATGCGCTTTATGTATTTCCAGCCTAAGAAGCCAGCCGATGACTTAAGCCACTCAAAAAAGCGTTTTATGTATTCTTACCATTATTTCGAAACAATATATATATATATACATTGGCCTACATAAGGTCGTTACTAGCCCATCTGACATATTGAGCTTTGAAATACAATACAAGCGCCAAATTACAGTGTTGCAAAGACATTTTTATTTTCACTTCGAACATGAAATTTGACACGTCTAGTCATTGATTTGAATATTTTTGTTTTTATTTTTCCAAACAATTAGCTAACAATTAGTAGTAGCTTTACCTAAACTTTTCATTGTACCATTGTAGTAACTTTTGGTCTGTTCCAGAACCTGCAATTTTTTTATATCATAAAGGGAAAATCGGTTATCTTAATAAAAACCTTTACATTCTTGCAGTTCTGGAACAGGCCATTTTATATTTAACAAAATATTTTTTAACGAAATTCTTATATTGGAGAAAACCCGCGAAACAAGAATGCAATTTTGGGGTTATTCCACCATATTGAATCTATAGTAGTAGGACAATACAGATTTATTCCAAAATTGTACAATGGGCTGCCCATTAACGTCGAAAATATGCATTTATTTTGCAACCGAGTTTGAAATTCAAATTATTGTATTTTTTATTCAAAACAATACACACACATACACAAAATGTGTATATATTTTGATAGAATAAGGGCACAAAGAGAAAATAATTGTATTTAGGGGCTAGCTTTGTTCTACCTTCTGTAATTGTGCCATGCTTTTACCATGCTTGCACGTAAATCAGTGCTGCTCTGGAAAAAACCTCGCTCACCAGTGTTAAAATCATGGTAAAATTAAAAAGGTAAAGTCATTTCAAATAAGCATTCGCATCTCTGTACTTTCTGTAATTTACCTTTTCAAATTTTACTGCATAGAAAATAGGAAAATGTATTTATAAACAATCATTTTGACAACGAGATGTTGTCAAATGAATCATTTTGAAGAAAAAATTGTGAAGGTGTGATTGCATGACATTACCTTTATTAATTCTACCATGGTTAACACATTATTTATTTATTTTTTTTTTTTTGTTAATTATTAGCTTTCAAACAAATTCAAATTAAAAAAAAACACAAATAAAATAAATCTTAAGGTGGGAATACATAAAGCGCTTATTTGGCTGGCTTCTTCGGAAATGAACAAAAGAACCTAGGACCAAAATCGAACTATGTCAACCTAAAACTCCTTTGTCCATCTACGAAGAAGCCAGTCGATGACTTAAGCCAGCCAAATATGCGCTTTATGTATTTCCGCCCTTAGAATACAAAGTAAAACAGAATATTAGTTTTCTCTCAAATGTTCTCTTTTGCGGAATCGTGTGCAAGCACACGCTTTTGAGCAGTGCTGACGTAAAGGAACAAGGCTATTGACAAAATAAATATAATATCGATAATATCGAATGTACCATCGATTGTTTGTTAGTTTTAATTTTTTTTATTTAATTTTTCACATAATTTTGTATTTTCCCCAATAACCAAGCCGACGGATTCCCTTGTAGCCACATGCGTGCGTGTGTGTGTGTCAATATAAAAAGTCGTTCGTTGGTTGGTGTCGGCCAGTTTTAGCCCATTGTTAACCCCATTCACATCGGTCACAATAAATACACGCATATCACAAAATGTCTAAAAAAGACAAGCAAAAACTGCAAGACGAGTTACGGGAGCAAATTGGGAGCGATGAATATCCACTGGTCAAGAACACTAAAATTTACGATCTGACGGAGGAGCAATTAGTTACAATGCTAACGGAAAGAAAAATAGCTGTCGAATATCCCATTGATCGTGTGTTATGTGAAGCTTTACTTAAAGCTTCCGTAAACGGCGACACCGTGGTTTTAGTGGAGTTGGTAAAAATTGATTCCTTAACATATAGTCAGCTAGAAGAGGCAATAAAAAAAGTAACCAAACCAAGAAAAACAATACGTGAAATACAACAAGAGCTGGCGAAGAATTGTGGCTATGGCGATGATGTCATTTGGGATCAGTAAGTCTTAATGATAAATTTAAAACGCAATTTTATACAATTACATAAATTACACAAATGAAAATATAGCAATCAGCTAATGACCACTGCTGTGTTGATGCACCAGTCGACAATAGGCATATACCATTTCTTGAAATGGTGGTTGTTATAACAGCAACAATCGAAGGTCTGGGTATATCCAAACCTTCCATTTCTCTTTCCGACACCAGCCTTTGTAAATCGATACCGGATTTCAGCTATATAAATGGAGATACGTTGAACGTTTTAGTTGTCGGCAGGCAACTAAAATATGTATTATTTTATATTTAAAATCATTGGGTCAAAAACAGAAATTGTATAAAGAGTCCGTATACTCTTATCATTTGTTCCATTTATGTAATACAAAGCCTATAAGACCATGTACAAGTATTACCAATTATGTTGAATTTATGCCGAAAATAGAATTAAAAACTTACTTTTGTTTCTAGGTTGAGCAAAAAGGATAGCAAAATTATGCAGTCTAAGATCAAACAACTTATTCCAGATCAGGAAACCGGCCAGAAGGGCATTGAAAAGATGCGAGAGAATATCTTCGAAAGTGTATGGGCTCAAAGTATGTATGACGCATATAAATATTTATAATAAAAACCCACTAAATATGTTTGTATGCATGTCTTATAGGAAAATATACAAATGGAAATTCATGTACATACATATTCTATGTAATGGTAACAGAGGAAACTGATTTTAATATAGCGCCGGATTCAACCAAATATTCATGTCATCCGATATTTCGATGTAAAAAATGTGATGGTAAGCTAAATGGAAGTGATATAATGTAGAATACCAATCAATCAGTATCGATCTAAATCTTTACTAGTAACACAGAAGTTGACATAATTCAACATATAAAACTTAAACTATGATCTTATCAAGTATAATAACTGATAGTATATGGTTCCTCTGAATATTGAAGTTTTTAACTACTATTCGGAGAGGTACAATATATTAGCACGGTATATTATTGAAAATAATCATACCTGTGCTGTTATTCTGGAGCTGTGTTCTTGTTATATGAAAACGTTAAATGAATATTTTTTTTTTATAAAATGTTTCATTTGACTTTTATTTCCTTTATAAAAGTTTCTATTTAACATTTTCAAATATCGAGAATTGAGGCCCTTTAGTTCATCTACAATTTTCGGCATATTCGCTAAAAAAAGGTGTAAGCTAAAGCAACTAATGTATAACCCAGCATAAAAGAGTGTTTCACAATAGCTGATCATCAACACGGATTCCGGAAATTGCAGGGCACAACAACAGATTTACACGCCATTTCCACAAGTGTCAGCAGAGGTCTCAACCAGAACAGGCTGAGCGGAAGAACAGTTATGGTGGCACTTGATTTATCAAAAGCCTTTGATATAGTCATCATCATGCCACACTGTTCGAGGACATTGAGCGCACCGCCCTCCGGACAAGTTTGAAACGTTGGACAGTAAACTACATGTGTGGACTCCAGTCGCACGTGGAACTCAGAAACAAGAAGTCGAGCATCCGTAGAGTTAAACAGGGAGTTCCCCAAGGTGGCGTGATATCTGACATTCCACACCCTCCAGACGGCATAGAGATAATAACGTACGCAGATGATTGTACGCTCGTGGCGTCCGGACCCATAATTGATGACATTTGTGATCGGTTAAACGCTTACCTTGTTGATCTTACCGCCTTTTTCATGACGGCCACACTTTTCACCACATGAACTGCGGTGATGGGGCTATTTTTGAATGTACATGTCGATGGGGCTGTAATTCCGGCCACCAACTACCCCAAGGTCTTAGGGGTCACATTCGATAGCCTCTTTAAGTCTTCCGCACATACCGCAGCTATCTGCGACAAGATTAGAAGTAGGAACAAGGTCCTCAAGTCTCTGACCGGTAGCACTTGGGGAGCCGATAGGCCGGTGTGTGCTAAACTATGCCGCTCCGGTGTGGTCCGCCAACGTTAGTGCTACGCAGTGGAAAAATATTCAGTCCTGCCAAAATGCCGCCCTTACAACCGCAAAATTGGTGTACATAAATTTATAAAACATCAAATATGACTTAAAAATAAGATCTAAAAGTAAAATGACATGAAGAATATAGAATTACACCAAATTAAATTATAAAAACGCCATAGCATTTATCTTCATATTTTTTTTTTTTGTTGTTTCAGCCAATAATGATAGCAGTAAATGTTGTATGATTTATGTTGATGA